CTTTAATTTAGGCCAGGAATCTTCAGTAAAAATGTGGATTCCTCAAAACAGACAAAAAGTTTTTTTTTTAAATATAGGACTCTGCAGTATAAAGACTGTTCATTGTAAATGAGACTCTTCAATATTAGATGAGATTGTGCAGTGTACATATGGATTCAAGTATAAACATATCACATTTCAATATAAACATTGCGTAGGGATTGGGAATAGCAAAGTCACAAAACTGTGGCTCACAATGGGAAAAGAAGGAAAGAAAAGCACTGAGAGATCAGAGGTGAAATAAAGAGTATTGTTGAATTTGCACAGTTGCTGATCTCTATCCTCAATGAATGTAATATTCCAGCAGTCATTTCACAATTTACAAAACCACTCAGTTTGTGGAAATTGTTATTAAGTTCTATCTATGTATTTTACCTGTAGAGTCAAATTTTACAACCAGAAATGTTTCAATAGGATTTCAAGTTAGGATAGAATTTTCTTCCACCGTAATCTGGGGGCATGATAACAATACAGCTAAAGGCTTCTTCACTTCCTTTTCGTAAAATCTTTGTCGTGCACTGAAATATTCTGCAGGCTAAATATGAGACAATCTTTTAGCATTTACTGTGTTCATCTTTAGGGCAGGATTCTAAATGAAATCAAGCACAACTTGAAGTGGAGGCATTAGCTGGCTGCAATTGATGTGCGTGCGTGTGTGTGTGTGTGTGTGTATGTTTAATGTGTGTGAGATTCCTGTCTTCCATGGTTGTAAAACATGACATGCTTTGTAGATGGACAAAAACTTTCACTGCGGTTAAACAATGATGCACAATAAAAAGAATTGTGTGTAATCTTGAGCTTTGTGTTTGTTTTACAGAGTTGTTTGTTTTTTTTCATTGTGTATTAGTATTATAAATGATTAGAAATAGGAAGGTATTCAAGATAGGTCATCCTTTTGGGTAGGACAGCAGATATTTGAAATTGTAATCCATTTGAAAGCCCAAGGAACCAAATACTCAGCAATGAATTTCAGAGGCTTGAACAATTATTGTTAGAGGTTTGACAACCACATTTACTTAGAGTCTTATGATACTGTATAGGCAAAACTGGGACTCAAAGGAGCATAAAGCTATCAAAGGTCTGAGCAATCAACAACCTGAATCTATTCTTGGCTGATTCCCAGTGAAGTTTACAGAATCTGTCACAATTATATAAATTGCTCATAGCTGGAAAAGTGTTTGGGTCAAGAGTGCATCTTTTGCTGTGTGTTGAAATTTCTAACTAAATACAAATAGGAGTGTAGTGTTTTTCATCTGGGTGAAAAAAGTGATCCAAGTAGAGCTCACACTAGGACTGAGCAGTGCTTTTCAGCAAGTTGTCATTTAAACTCATTTAGATATCAATAAATATAAAACCTATCACCAATAGCTGGAGTGCAATTTTTTTCAGATTTAAGGTGAGAGGGGAAAGAGTTAAAAGGGACCTAAGGGGCAACTTTTCATGTAGAGGGTGGTGCGTGTATGGAATGAGCTGCCAGACGAGGTGGTGGAGGCTGGTACAATTACGACATTTAAAAGGCATCTGGATAAGTAGGAAGAATTTAGAGGGACATGGGCCAAACGCTGGCAAATGGGAATAGATTTATTTAGGATATGTGGTGAGCACGGACGATTTGGACTGAAGGGTCTGTTTCTGTACTGTGTATCTCTATGACTCTATGACTTAAACACTTTTCACTGTATTTTTTTCATAAAAATACAAACAACAATAAATGACCTACTCCATTCTATTCTATTCTATTCTATTTAGAAGTGTCAACTTGGTATGAGTGCTTAGTATAATTGAGAATGGAGTTATCACAAACACTTTTAATCACTGTAATCGATTGCCTGAGTGTAATGTGATTTTAAAGGATTGAAGGTGAATTTATTTTATTTGCCTCATTGGGTTACTGGTTAGTTTCTTAGTAATTTTTTTTCTAAAATGCTTTTAAAACAGACCTAGTATAGCTTAATTTTCAGAATTTCCCTGAAGCCTCAAAAATGAGTAAAATTAATGGAAACTTGTCATGATGATCAGTTGATTCTGGGGCTGTTCCTAGTTTAGTGGATATGGCTGGATTCCAGTGTGACTTGATATACCCTGAAGGTCATAGACACTAAAAATTTGCATGGTCACATCACTGAAACCAGCACAACTGAACACAGACTGTGGTTTACCATGCTGCTTATATACAATTTGTTATTCCCCACATCTACTGTGTCTGCTTACTGCTTCCACAAGGTGGAGACAGATGTTAAATACTGTATGAATGAATCTAGATGTATAGCAATGACAATGACATTGTAGAGGACAGTTTAAGACATAGCTTGTGGTGCAGTGGTATTGTTTTCCTAACTTCCTTTTGTGTTCCTATCTCTGGTTTAGAAGACCCCAGGTTCAAGTCCCACCTGCTCCATGTGTCTTCATGTCTCAACTGGTTGATTTTAAAAGAATACTTTAACCAATTGGCCACAGCAATTTGATGGCTTAGAAATGGTTTGGGGTCTCCCAGGGCAGGTTTGAATCCTGCCAAATACTGTGTTTATGGGCTCTTATGATGTAGTGGTAGTGTTCCTACCTCTGGGCTAGAATCTCTAAGTTCAAGTCCCACCTTCCCTCAAGGCATATTGTAACATGTCTGAACAGGTGGATTTAATTTTTTAAAAGTTGATTTGTGGTCTAAGTAGATGAAGTGGATGTAATTACATAGAATTACATAAGCACAGAGACAGACTATCTGGTTGAACAGTCCTGTGTTAGTCTTTATGCCCTACATCAGCCTCTTTTCATCCATCAATACAGTCATAGAGGTCCACAGCGTAGAAATAGGCCCTCAGCCCAACCTACCAGATTTCACAATTAAACTAGTCCCATTTGCCTGCGTTTCGTCCATATCCCTCCATGTACATGTTGAAATATTCCTTAAATGACAAAATTGAACAGACTTCCACAACTACCTTTGGCAACACATTCCAGACCACCAAAACCCTCTGTGTGAAACAAGTTGTCCCTCTGGACCTTTTTATATCTCTCCTCTCTCAGCTTAAACCAATGCTCTCTAGTTTTAGACTTCCTACCATGGGAAAAGCTGTTGGATAGCTACCTTATCTATGCTTCTCATGATTTTATAGACCTCTATAAGGTCACCCCTCAGTCTCCTATGCCTTTCAGCAAATTCTACTCCTTTCTCCCTTGTGTGTTTATCTAGCTTCTCCTTAACTGCATCTGTACCATTCACCTCAACCTGTGTTTGTGGTAACGTGTTGCAGCCTCACCACTCTCTGGTAGAGGTCTCCTGAAATACGTGGAGCTACTCCTGTCTGTCTTATATTTCCATCCCACTGGTGTTGGTCCTCCTCACAAATGAAATGTATTTTCTGTGTTTACGTTATTGAACCCTTTCATAATCTCGAAGACCGCTTTCAATTGACCCCACTGCCTTCTCTTTTTTAGAAGAGCCACAATCTGTTCGATATTTCTTGAGACCCAGTTATCAAATGAATCTAAATCATTGGTCTGTAATGTTATTATATTAGTCAGTGAATAAAATATAAAATATAAAAAATAAAATATAATCCCAAAGTCAACCACATTGTAGTGGGTCTGGAGTCACATGTAGGCCAGACCAGGTAAGGATAGCTGATTTCCTTCCCCAACGGACATTAGTGAACCCGATGGGTTTTACAACAATGACAATGGTTACATGGTAACCATTCAGCTTGCTTTTTTATTCCACATTTTTCTAAAATTGAAATCAAATTTCACTACGTGCTATGTAGGATTTGAATCCATGTGTAAAATGCAATTTAAGAGAGATTGGAAGAAAAAATAGCACAGATCACTCAAAGTTGCTACCCAAGTTGATAGGGTTGTAAAGAAGGCGTCTGGTGTGTTGGCTTTCATTGGCAGTGGAATATTGTGTTCAGTTCTGGTCATCTCATTATAGGAAATATGTGGAAGCTTTAGAGAGGGTGCAGAGGAGATTTACCAGGATGCTGCCTGGACTGGAGGCAGGTCTTATGAGGAAAGGTTGAGGGAGCTAGGGCTTTTTTCATTGGAGCAAAGAAGGAGAGGAGGTGACTTGATATAGGTTTACAAGCTGATGAGATGCATAGATAGAGTGAATAGTCAGAGACTTTTTTTTCCCAGGGCTGAATATTACAAGGGGCCATAATTTTAAGGTGATTGGAGGAAGGTATAGGGGAGATGTCAGAGGTAGGTTCTTCACACAGAGAGTGGTGGACGTGTGGAATGTGCTGCCGGCAGTGGTAGTGGACTCAGATACTTTAGAGACTTTTAAGCGACTCTTGGATAGGCACATGGAGGATAGTAAAATGTAGGGCATGCAGGATAGATTGATCTTAGTAGAATAATAGGTCGGCACAACATGGTGGGCCGAAGGCCCTGTGCTGTACTGTTCTATGTTATAAGTCAGATGAACCTTGTACGTTATCATGAATGAGATAACCTGGAGTTTGTTTAAATCATGTAACTTTATGCCATCAAATCCTGATGCTTAATCTTCGTAATTGCTGCTTTTTAATTCTGCGCATTTTAAACTATACAACTAAGCAGACTGAAGAAGATTAAATTGCACAGCACTAGAGTACGTGCTGCACTGCTAGGAGTCACCATTTGGAAATAAGGGACAGAGGACTTTTGTCACTTCAGATTCTATGACAAGTTGAAGAGGACTGCACCCTGCTTCTCCTGGAGTTACTGACTGCTGTGCAGTTTATGGTTATGACAGCCTGACAGTATAAATATAACAAGGCATTCTTCAAGAGCAGATGAAGAGTGAGTGCCAGGAGGTTATCATGTGTGGAAAGCTTCACTGTTGAGCCTGAACCTGTCGTCATTTGATGTCATTCCTGTATAAGCAGGGTCATGTACACAAATTGGCCTGCAGCCACATCATGTTGGGTCACTTGCCAGCAAATGTTATCAGGACACATACGAACTGGAGGAACAAGACAGAGAGAAGTGAATGCTCACTTTATTTATAGCTGTTGGGCTCTTCACCATTCCCTTCAAGATCCAATACAATTTATTTTTGCAAAAGCAAAATAGAGTGGATAATAGAAATCTGATATAAAAACAATGTATCTGTGAAGAGAAAGAGTTTATGTTTCAGGTTAAGATGACCTGTCACCTGATAGAGAGAGAGACAGCACGCAAGGGCAGTGTGGAGGGAGTAGGAACAAGAGAGAAGGTCAGTGATGGGGTGGAGAGCAGCAGAAAGTGACTAACAAAAGATTTCAATGTGCAACAGCTGAAGCGAGTGGGAATGGGTATAGGAAAGAAATGAAGGGTTACATAGAGATCTTCTGAATGTGAGTTGCTGAGATAAAGAGAGAAATTAAACAACACCAATCCACCAAAACAAATAAAAGAGAAAAACGCACGTTGAACAAGACGAAGGTAGAGCTTTCGCTCTGAAGTTGTTGAACTCGCAGTTAGACCCAGAAGCTCCAGAGAGTTGAAAGATTAGATGCTGTTGCATTGAGGAACCACTAATTGTTAAACAGTGCAGCAGCTATAAGTCACATTGAATAGTGAACATAGAGATCTGTGAAATCAGATGTGAAATCAGTGTGAGGCAGAACCATGAGATGCTGGTGCAGCTCAGACAAGCTTTTTGAAAAGTGGAGATCAATAAATCTGTTGACTTAGTTTTGAAAATCTTGATGTAGTTACATTGTTTCTTCACTCAGCTTTAGACCGCATTTGAGGAGTTACTATGATTGATGCATACGTCGACCTCTGAGTTCTGACATCATCATTACTCTGATTTGCAATTCAGATTTTCAGAGTTTGAGTCTTGAGGTGGTGGATAAAGTCCTTGGCTTACTCACACTCTCTATTCCATCTGTTCAATTCTTCTTTGTCCTATGTACCTCTCTCATGGAAGCTCAATCTGGGGCATCCTAACCCATACTTTCTGGTGTAACTTCAATTATGATCTCTTTGGCAGTGACTAGCATTTTAGCAATCGTCCAAAGCTCTGAAACAGAGTAATTACTTTAGCGTAATTTGCAAAAAAAAAGTCTTTAAGCTTTAAGCCTGAGTCAATTGTAAACACTTGTCATACAATTTAATGGAATTGGTGACATTAGATGTTCCATTCTTGTATCTTTCTTGCTCATCTGTTAATGGATTGAGGTATTCATCTATAATGCTAAGGCCTTGCAGAATCCTCTTGAGATACTTGTACTTGGAAAGGATAGCCACAGGGGAACCTGATTGTTTTTCACACCTGGAAAAGAAACCATTTGTTGTAGACAGCAGTATTGAGGAAATGGTAGTGCTAAGCAAATGACCCACTGTACTCCACACAGCATGGGGCCACCTTTCCATTAACACAGACATAACCAAGGCCTTTCAGGACCTGTGGGCCCAACAGGGGCTTGGATACATCATCACTCTTGGTCATGCCTTTTTCATTTAAGTTTGCTACCTTTTTTTTGTCATAGTGTCCCACCTCGGGCTGTCTTAAATCATTTTGGTCTGTTTTAATTAGGACACAACTCCATTTATTGTTTTAGCTTAATCAGAGAACATTGTGAATGGTCCTGTGTTCTGTGCTCTGCTTCACAATTTTATTAGTTCATCTCGTGTTGGTGCTCATGCCCATTACCCCTCCTCAGATCAATGCAATCAACTCAGACCCAGTTACACAACATCACTTGTTTACTGCTAAACTAATTCTAGTTGTTTTGGCCTGAGGACACCAACCTGACTCTGCCCCCTACCCCCTTGCACCAACAATGAGTGGTGAGCAGATTAGGATGTGAGGGGTGTAGAATTGGAATACATTCCATCCTAGTACGTTTAAAGGTGACTGCAGCACTGGTATATTGAGTATAGGTAGCTGCTACATGGTCACATCAGAAACACAGACAGACCAAACACAAGCAGCACTCACCTCCTCGGCTCCTCGTTACTGCAATTCCTTGGTGCTGATTTCAGCCAGAAACAGTGTGGTAACACAAACTCAGACAACAGCCACTCCACTGCGCTCCCATTCACATATTTCTTCATCTGATTTTTCAATCTGAAGGAAATAGGATCAGGCAAGAGTGAGAAAACCCATTAGATGTTTCATGTGCTAATGTTTAAGATCAAACATGTTGATAAGTGAAGGTTTGTAGTTTTTAGTCTCTGTTCAATGCAATAAGGGATTTGTTAGAAGAGATTAACAAGTGAATTATTTTCTGCTGGCACAGGACGATATGTCCAAAAATGTGCAGATTGGTGGATTGGCCATGCTAAATGACCCTATGGTGGCCAAGGATGTGCAGGCTAGGTGGATTGGTCATGGGAAATACAGGGTAATAGGGATGGGGTAGGTCTGGATAAAATGCTATTCAGAGGTCAGTGCAGCTCAGATGGGCCAAATGGCTTCTTTCTGCCCTGTAGGGATTCTATGATAAATTTATTGTTTATAAATTCTTCAAGCCGTAAATAACGCACATTGCAATCTATGTTCACTCCTCAGGACCAGGTAATAATATATATAAATTAGTGTTATTGTTGTCATTGGATGGAGACCCATCTGACAGATCATTCAAAGTATTGCAAACTGATCACCAGATCTAGGTATCCCACTCAAATTCAGATGAGTTACAATATGTGTTTGTTTGGTGGGCAAAGCCCATTGTAAACCCAATGAATGTTTAACTACCTGAATGTTGATATCAAAAATAGTTCTAGTATACTTTGTTATGATTCACCAGTATTGCAACATGGAATATATCTTGGCTGAATTGCAACTAGGGAGCAGCAGATCTGAAGCAACCAGGCAGCAAGGTAAACGATTTCTGATAACACACTTCCAACTCTATACCAGCAATCATATTACAAGGATTAAATTTAGGTTGAGTTTTAGCAGAGGAGAAATATCTTTGTTCTCTTGACATTTTGAATAAAGTTTTGCAAATAGTTAATACATCATTTACACAGAGTACTGTTCCTTTACCTGCTTAATGTTACATAACTATGTCTAGGACCTGATAGATTAATCTGATCAATTTGAACAAAGTGCATATATTCTTCTACTTTCTGGAACAAGATCACAATTTAGAACATAATATAAGTTGACACCATCCAGGAAAAAGCTGCCTGTTTGATTGGTGCCACATCCACAAACACTACTCCCACCACCACTGAGGCTCAGTAGCAGCAGTGTGTCCTATCTACAAGATACACTGCAGAAATTTACCAAAGCTTCTTACACAGCACCTTACAAACCCACGAACACTTCCACATAGAAGGACAGAAGCAGCACCACCTGCAAGTTTTCCTCCAAGCCACTCACCACCCTGACTTGGAAATACATCACCGTTCCTTCACTGTCACTGGATCCAAACTCTGGAATTCCCTCCCTAACAGCATTGTGTGACTATCTACAGCAAACAGACCGAAGCAGTCCAAGAAGGCAGCCCACCACTACCGTCTCAAGGGCAATGATGGATTAGCAGTAAGTGCTGGCCCATGTCGGATGAATGAATTTAAAATATCTAATTATTTGTAGAAAAATGGCAAAACTTCTTTTTTAATCTTTGCTATATTCTATATATTGAGCATGATAAGACCAATCTGAATGAGAAACAGTGATAAAAACACACAGGAACTGAAAAGAATTCGTATTCCACCCTGAGATGCAATTTATTGAACCTATCAGAACCTCAGCTTCATAGCAAATTACAGTTGCCAGGAGCTCTGCAATGAAGCTTTGGACATTGGTATTTCTCTCTGGATGGGCACTGTTGAGACATTGGTGTTTAAAAGATGTTTGGACAGGTACATGGATAGGAAAAGTTTAGAGGGACATGGGCCAAACACAAGCAAACACAAGATCAGTTTAGGAAACCTGGTCAGCATAGATGAGTAGGGCTGAAGGGCCTATTTCTATGTTGTCTGATTCCATGACTCCTACTGGAAAGTTCACACATGATCCATATATGAGGACTAGATCTTTGACCCTCATAATTGCCTGTAGAACAGGATATTTACCTCTTCATGCAGCAACAGTGATAGAGAGTCCTGGACTGCTCGTTGTAATATGAGAATTTGAATTCCTGTGGAGAGATCTTGTGCTTACACTGATCCAGGAGTTTGTAAATGCTGCAATCTGTGGAATTACCTGTAATGAGAAGCAATATATATTTTCAAAATGCTATTTAGGACTCTTCCTCCAAAAAGGATAAATTCTTACCCTTTTGATTCGTTCAACTCTCCTACTTTTGGTAACCTGTTGTTTGGAATACTAACCCTATCTGGTATATTCTCCTTTCTGTTTATTAAACAATGTACAATGCAACTCACGTTGAACAATGCAATAGCATATCTGTTGGTAAACTTTATTGTGCCATTGCTCAAGTACATCAACAGCTCCACGGTTTAATAATAGGTCTGAAGTGTGAATAATGGGGAGGGAGCCCTACCTGGATCCAAATAGGTCTCCCCACCCCCAGGGAGGCAGCAAGATGGCAATATAAGTGCTCCACACTACTTGTTGCCCAAATACTTGTAGTTTAACATACACCTCTCCATTTTATTAGGAAACAATTTTCAGTATTCAAACAGCTGTTTCATTTTTACATTGTTATTTCAGCATGATGCATTCATTCATTCATGTGGAAAATAAATCCTTCTTTTTCTTTCATTCACTATTCATCGGACTTTTCTGAAACGTAGCTCCAATGAATAGCAAGGATCCCCTGTACTTTAAATATATTAATTGATATGGTTAACTATGACTATAATTCTCTGAAACTCATAATTCATTACATTCTCATTATGTGCTGAATTTAAGACCCCCTCCAATGTGCCTTTTTCGGAGTTATCCTCATACTGATTCTAAACACTTAATCCTTCTTAATAGTTTCAAAACTTTCTTTAGGACCAGGAACAATGGTTTCCCTTGCAGGAAATCACTGTGTAAGTTTGATTTGAGGTCTCTACAATTTAATGGATTGATCAAATATGTAACTCTATGCATTACTTAAACTCTTATCTTTAGTATTTATATTCTAATGTTCAATTTTAGGAACTTATATTCTGTGCTCTTTTACAGCAGCTGGGAGGTGTAAAAATTATTTCCTAATGTAGAGAATAACTTAGACATTTTAGGTGAAAACATTAAGAGGTTCCAGGGATCAGTAAGTACACCTTCACAATCAATTACATTTAGGGCAAGAAGTAACTTTTTAAAAAGATATAACTGGGAGAAGTAACTCTTGGGTGTCAACATCGTGAGATGACATTCTCTTAGGGGAAGCTGATTAACAGAATTAACACTAAGAATATTAAAACCGAGAATGTGTGGTCATTGCTAGTATTGTTCATGACTAAGAGTCAGGCTGGAACACAGATGATGTGGGAGGGAGATGGCAACGTACACTCAGGACCATAGCAGAACTTTGTATATGATCTAGGAATGGATGTTGTCAGTAATTATTGCATTACAATTTACTTTGCAGAGAATCAATTCACTCAGATAGAAATACAAATCTTCTTCATGGTCGGATAAGACATGGAACAAAGATAAACATTTTTTATTTCAGGTCTTCAGCATTAAAAAAAATTATTTTGATTTGCAAAGATGAGTTCATCATTGAAATTGACAGTTTGAATGAATTATCCTGATTTCAAACCTGTCGGAACTATACTGCTAAATGAAAATGAAATATTTTAAAGTTGATAGATACTTTAAAAAACATCAATGGAAGTTTTGAGATTTGTGTGTTTTTTTACTCTTTCATGAGTGCCAGTGGCAAGGCTGCCAGTTGTTTCCATCCCTTTTTGTCCTCGAATTGAGGCTGGCATGACCATTTTAGAGGGCAGTTAAGAGTCAACCCCATTGCTGAGAGTGGGTTTTGATAACAATCGACAATAATTGAAATGATAGCCATTAGTGAAGCTAGCTTTATGTTACAGATTTATTAATAGAATAACAAGCTGTCATGGTGGGATTTAAACCCTTGTCCCCAAAGCCATACGAGCCTCTGGATTACTAGTCCAGGGACATTAGCATAATGCCACTATTTCCTCTTATTTTATGATTATTAATATTTTAATATTAATTACAATATAGTTGTAATAATTAACAGACATGATGGATCTATAATTACATCCTTTATTCATTTAGGGGATGAGGGCGTCACTTTTAGGCAGCATTTATTGCCCAAGCCAGTTGCCCAGAGGGCAGTTAAGAGTCAACCACATTGCTGTGGATCTGGAGTCATATGTAGGCCAGACCAGGTAAGGATGGCAGTCTCCTTCCCTAAAGGACATTAGTGAACCAAATGGGTTTTTCCAACAATCAGCAACGGATTCATGGTCATCACTAGATCCTTAATTCCAGATATTTGTTATTGAACTCAAATTTCATCATCTGCCATGGCAGGATTCAAACCCAGAACATTATCTGGGTCTCTGGGTTAACAGTCCAGTGAATTACATGGTCCCAGCATTATCCCTTAACACTTGCTGTTCAGGTACCTACCATAATTTGGCCCTGTTTCTTGTTACACTACCACTAACCTCCTCTATCTGATAAGATATTGGTCTTGTTTCAAATACAAGTTATTTCTTAAATACATTAAATAACAAGAGTGAGATATTTCACTAAAGCTTGAACTGAACCTTTCAATGCAGTTGAATGAGGTCTGTTTGGATCCAGAGTTTGATGAGCATTGGGGGAGCTGATGAGGATTTCAGAATGCCTCCAGTTTCCCATCATACATCGCAGACTCCTTGGTGTGTGGCCTTTTCTGTCACTGCCACTTGGTAAAGATTTTGAACTACTGTTCTTAGAAACGCTGCTCAAGTTGAATGCTCTCCTTGCAGAAGTAAAGGAGCTATTGACCTCATTTTTCATGGTATCCTGCTTTATCAAAGGCCCGATTATGTGTTTACCCGATAAGATGGAGTCCAGACTATTGGTCAAGCTGGCTGTTGTGTTCGGTCTTCCCTGAATGGTGAAACCATGTTCTTTACTGATATATTCATCCAATCTAACAGCCATGGTCCCATTCACTTGGTTCATTAAAGCCTTAGAGACATTTCTCTGCAAAAGCTTTATAGGGCCATCCTTTTTCTCCATAGCAACAGGGATTGAGTTCTGTTCAATGATAGAGTTAAAAGCCAGTCTAGTGGTAGCCATTGTGGTCATCAAGCTATTTTGGGAAGTAACTTCGGTTTTCTGCATCTGGTCATCTTTGCACTCGTGACAATCTTTGTTTTTCCTTTTAATCTTTTGGGTCGAACTTAGCAATGTCTGACGAGTAGTGGGTCCAGCAGAGAGGCTAGTGACTATTTGGTTCTGTCTGCTGGTTGCTGCAGAACTTGCCGTGGGTTTAGACTCCAATCCCATCTGAAACTCATCCAAACTGGGCTGGATATAACTGTACTTTGGTTGAGAATGAAAAACAGCCTGCAGCACTTGTTCAGTGATATTGCAACTGAAGAATAAGAGAGACACAAAAGAGACGTAAAAACATAAAGTCAATTAAACCTCAGCTGAGGAGAAGCTTGCACCATCAGCAGTGTCTTTGATTAGTCCCGGAGGAGATCCCAGATCCCAGCCTCCACCAAGCTGCCTTTAATTCAAAACAAAATTTGCACTGAAATAGAACAACTATGCCTATAAGATGAAAATTGATCTCCAGTAAAACAGGAGCTACTTAACCAGAGCTTGGAAATAAAGTGCAATGACTTTCAATTTCCTCAACTAAGGCCTGGTGTATAATGCAGGGGTAACATGGGTAGAAAGAGTCAGGCAGGGGCTCAAGATCAGTCAAGACTCTTGATTATCAGCTGCAGAGTGTCATACAGTTGCCTTTTTGTTGGGGTTGGTGCAGGTAGCTCTTTCCCCCCATTACATAAAAGGCCCATGGTATGCGAGGGTGATGGCTGTTGCCCCCCTCCCCCTGAATTTCCAGTAACCCTTGCCTCGTCAGGGCACACACACATTCTGGATGTCAATAAGATTTGGTGCTAGGTTGAAGGGAGTTGCAAGTGTGGCCAAGGAGGGGTGCTGGACACTGCCACATCATAAGAACACTGGCAGTATCCAGGATGTCAGGGTTTTTTTTAAAAGATGGCTGTGTGTCAACATACTGGTAAAGCAACTAACTCAGGTCTCAGTGCCAACTTTTTCTCTGCACGTCTGTTTGGCTTGTACTATAATGGATGTGTTGTCCCAGTCGAATTCGTGTCCTTCTTTGTCCGTCTGTATGGGGACCAGTGAGAATTGGTCATGTCTCTTGGTGGCCAAACAGACATGCCAGGGAATTCCTGGAGGCCTGGTATTCCAACCGGAACTCCATTGACAAACACATTGAACTGGACCCAATATACAAACCACTGAAAAACAGAACTGGAAGTGATGCCAACCACCCCAGCAAACCGAGGCCTAGGAATAACAAACAGGACAGAACACCAATGCTTCACTGGAGGCGCACTGATGATGTTACCTAGCAGGGTGACGAAACATCTGCAATCAAACACACCGGCTCGGCGAGCAAGTCTACAACATCAGTGCCAATGCCATACCTACTTTGCACTCAGGCAGGAGTCTTAGTTGGCACGTTGATGTGAATGCCTACCGGTGGTATTTAAAATGCTAGATCTCACTCTGTCTCCAATACTCCAATAAGGTTCCTTGGATTTGTGGCATTTTGGGGCTTCCTTTGGGGTCTACACTTTGTTGCAAAATCTTTGAGAAAACACAGGAGAAAACCTTCTACGTTTGCCACCTGTGATTCCCATCCGAATCTCGAGTGTGTGGGGAGTGCTGTGGGATACGTACGGGATTAAATTTGACTGTGATTCTCCTGAGGTTGATCAGGTGCTGAAATTCTCTGCTCAAGTTAATACTTGAGGGTGAGTTTGCAAACTCATTTCAGAATTTTATCTGCTGGGTGCAAACATTGAAAATTAGGTGCAATAGTCATTCATTCCCATATTAATTTGAATGGATGAGAAATCATGCACAGATCCACGCAGTTTATTGTGTGCTTCTGATTGCCAGCAATGGGAATTTTAAATTTCCCCCAATGAAGAATTGGGCAAGGTATTAGGATATGACCAGAATCCATGAATATTTGCCAGCAAGAAACACTATCGTTGCAAGAAGAGACCATTTATTGCAAGACTCACTGGTTCCATTGGCTCTTCTTAACACAACGTTCAACCGGCTTCAAATCAAAACAGGGCACATGGAGCATGCTGAAATATGAAAATCCAACCATTGTGGAGATAGTATCATTTGCATTCAGGAGACATCTCCTAAACCTAATGCCAGAGGGAAATAATGTCAAAAAAGTGTTAATTTTCACAATGAAAAATGAAAAAGATGACTTGATGTTGACAGGACAACGTGAGCTAGTGCTCCTTCTCTCTCTGACCCTCTCTCATGTCTCCAACCCTTCCACTCACCCTGCCAAGCAGCTTATGTCTGTGCCCTCTCAGGTACTTTGCCTCCCACCTTTCCAGTTCTTACTCTAACTGTCACTCTTCCAGAACATAGAAACATAGAAATTAGTAGCAGTCGGCCATTTGGCCCTTGCAGCCTGCTCTACCATTCAATATGATCATGGTTGATTATTCAGCTCAGTCTCCTGTTCCTACTTTGGTCCCACACCCTTTGAGCCCTTTAGCCATAAGAACTATATCTTAACTTCTTCTTGAAAAAATTCAATGTTTTGGCCTCAGCCTCTTTCTGTGGCAGAACATTCCATAGGCTCACCACCCACTGGGTGACGAAATTTCTCCCCTTCACCCCATCTCAATCCCGAGTGGCCTATCCCAGATCATTAAATTGTCACCCTGGTTTTGGAATGCCCGGCCATTGGGAATATCCTTGGTGCATTTACCCTGTATGGTCTTGTTGGAATGTTACAGGTTTCTGCGGTTTCATGTGCTCCTGCCACCATTTGAAATGGTGGCTCTTGAATGAATTCATAGCCATCTTCTTGGACTTTCTTGGTATTCTCCAAAAGGCCCACAGAGGGTCCCACCATAAGCATCAACCACTCCTGCCCCCTCCCCACAATAAACTGATATTCTTCCTGTCCCCCTCATCTGTTAAGTACAAGGTTTGGAATTACAGTTCAACAAGTCCCAGTCATTGTTTCATCATTTAGCCCATCATCTTTATATCTGTGTGCCTGACCCCATAGCTTACGTTTCGTCGCAGTTACAGTGGGATACTGTGTGCAGTCTGAAGTTCCACACTCCATAGTTGTATTCAAAAGCAGACAATGTGTGATTACAGTGGTCATGTTCTCTGCAGCATGAGTCTGTCTGATGGAATATTCCTAAACATGAGAAGTGATTCTGAATAAACGAGAATTATTCAAAGTATGTGCACAGTTTTTGTTGATATTTAAAGACCCATGGCCACAGTAAAACTGCAATGTTTAGACAGTGCAAATCGATCTTTGAAGAAAACAGGCACCACATTAATTTTGGTATTCACCAAGCAGACTAAAAAAAATCTTAGATATAATTTCTAAGTTGTTATGAGTTAAATGATTCAAACTGAATTGTTATAGCGCAGATGGAGGCCATTTGGCCCATCATAGCTGCACCAGTTTGCATCTAGGCTTGAAGCCTGAGCTAAGAGTGACATATGCAATTTTACAGTAATTTACTTGGCATTGAACGACTCTAACCATATTTCCAAACATTAGAAAAAGTAATCCATATGCTGGAAATGTAAAATCCTGATCCCATTACCATCCAACATCGATTCCGTCCCTGTCTGAACCTGGTCCCATCATTATCTGGAACAGATCCCATTACCATCCAAACCTGATCTCATCACTAGCTGGCATCCAGACATGTGCATTTCTCCAAAGGGAGACAAGGTAACCAGAGTGGGAAACTTGATTAATTTTCCTTTTCTATTCTCAGGAATGTCAAGGCATATTATTGACCAAGGAACAAAAACAGAAGTTGCTGGAAAAGCCCAGTAGTTCTGGCAGCATCTGTGAAGAAAAAAATCAGAGTTAACGTTTCGGGTCCGGTGACCCTTCCTCAGAACTGAAGGTAGCTGGGAAAACGTCGGTTTATATGCAGAAAATAGGGAGGGGGATTGGGGTAGGGAGTAAACGATGGGATAGAGCCCGAGGAGAGAGAAGAGCAGTTGGATACACCAAAGAAGTTGGTAACAATCTGGCTGGGAGGGTGAATAGTTGTTAATGGAGACTGTTAGGGACTAGCAGCAGGTGGTGTGTAATGGCAGGCTATGTGGTAACAAGGCCTGGTGCGTGGGGTAGGGGGCTAGGACATGGTAGAGTTTAGGCCCTAAAATTATTGAACTCAATATTGAGTCCAGACAGCTGCAGAGTTCCCAAGCAGAAAATGAGGTGATGTTCTTCCAGCTTGCGTTGAGCTTTGCTGGAACATTGCAGCAAGCCAGATATAGAGATGTTGGCCAGGAAACAGGGTGGTGTGTTAAAGTGACAAAGCGTAGATGTTCTGCGAAGTGGTCACCCAGTCTATGCTTCATTTCCCCAATGTAGAGGAGACCACATTGTGAGCAGTGAATGCAGTAGACCAGATTCTGGGAAGTGCAGGTGAAGTTTTGATTCACCTGGAAGGTATGTTTGGGCCCTGGGATAATGGGGAGGGAGGAGGTAAATGGGCATGTATTGCACCTTCGCTGGTTACAGGGAAGGTGCCGTAGGGCTGCTGGGGTGTGTTGGGGGTGAAGGAAGAGTGGACCAGGGTGTCCTGGAGCGAATGGCTCCTGCGGAACGTGGACAATGGAGTGGAGGGGAATATGTGTCTGGTGGTGGCATCTTGCTGGAGGTGGCAGAAATGGTGTCTGATGATTTTCTGGATGTAGATGCTGGTGGGATGGTAGGTAAGGACAAGGGGAATCATATCGCTGTTGCAGGAGGGAAGCGAAGGGGTGAGGGCAGAAGTGCAGGAGAGAGGACGGACCTGGTTGAGGGCCCTGTCAACAACGATGTTGGGGAATCCTCTGTTGAGAAAGAAGGTGGACATTTCGGAGGCTCCCTTGTTAAAGTTGGCCTCATCTGAGCATATGCGACGGAGACGGAGAAACAGAGAATGGGATGGAGTGTTTACAGGAAGCCAGGTGTGAGGATGTATAGTCCAGGTAGCTGTGGGAGTCAGTGGGTTTATAGTGGATATTAGTGGCCTAACAATCCCCAGAAATTGAAACAGACATGTCAAGGAAGGGAAGGGAGGTGTCAGAGATAGACCAGGTGAAAGTGAGGGCAGGGTCAAAATTGGAAGCGAAATCAATTAATTTTTCCAGTTCCGGACGAGACAGGGAAGCAGCATCGATGATATCATCAATGCATCGGAGAAAGAGTTGTGGGTAGGGGCCGGAATAGGATTGGAACAAGAAATATTCCACGTACCCCACGAAGAGACAGGCATAACTGGGGCCCATGCGGGTACCCATGATCACCCCTCTTACCTGAAGAAAATAAGAGAAGGTAAAAGAGAAGTTGTTGAGGGTGTGGATGAGCTTGGCTAAGTGGACGAGGGTGGTGGTGGGTGGGGACGGTTCAGGTCTTTGCTCCAGGAAGAAGCAGAGAGCTCCAAGATCGTCCTGGTGGGGAATGAACATGTAAAAGGGATTGTCCATGGTAAAGAGAGGCGGCTGGAAACTGCAAACTGGAAATTCTGAAACTGGCGTAAAACGTCAGATGAATCATGGATGTACGTGGACAGGGATTGGACCAGGGGAGATAAGACTGAGTCAAGGTTGGGAGAGATGAGTTCTGTGGAGCATGAGCAAGCTGAAACAATGGGTCTGCCTGGACAGGCCTGTTTGTGGATTTTAACAATATTATTGACCTCCTCAACTGCTAGCACAGTTGAGATTAGGTAACCCAACACAGACCATGGATCAAATATCATCTACTTTATGATCTGCACGGTTGAGTATCACGGTCTGTGAGAAACTGATTCCATGCTTGACACTGAGTAATCATATAAAATAAGCAATAGTGAATTTTCAGTACATCTTAGTTATTCTGATTTAATCAAGCTCATGGCTGCTTTTCTTATCCCGCATTGAACTAGGGCTGTTTTTAGGTCGATGGGTGAATGAGCAATTAGCAAAGTTCTTAGTGCTGAAGTGAATTTCTGCAGTTTTGTAAAAGATACTTTAAATTGAAATTATTTCCATGTCCAAAACATTCTTTGCAGGGTCTGAAGATATGAAATTGTTTGCAGAGACATTTCATTTCGATAAAAATGTCAGGTACAAGACATACACCTAAAGCACTAAAGTCTAGTCATTATTGAAGACACTAAAGATGCAAATAGCAAATCCACAAAATTGGATTGAATCAAACAAGAGAAAGACCTTGACAGTAGTTTTTCTTTAATGTAAAAGCAAAATATGCTTAAAATTCAGACTAGATCAACATACATAATCTGATTGATCCATTGAATCAAGCATTTTCCATTTCTATTTTATGATTTCATAATGTCAGATTTCAGGAATTTTGTTTGTTATTTTAAAGTTTGCATGCATTCTGAACAACAATTACTGCAACTAGATCCCCAGCAAGGTCCTTCCCCAGCAAACAATAAGGGCTAGATAACAAGGTGTAGAGCTGGATGAACACAGCAGGCCAGGCAGCATCAGAGGAGCAGGAAAGCTGACATTTCTGGTCTGGATCCTTCTTCAGAAATGGGGGAGGGGAAGGGGGCTCTGAAATAAATAGAGACGGGGGAGGTGATGAAAGAAGGTGGATAGATGAACAGATAGGTGGAGAGAAGACGGACAGGTCAAGGAGCCGGGGATGAAGCCAGTAAAACGTGTGTTCATCCAGCTCTACACCTTGTTATCTCAAACTCCAGCATCGGCAGTTCCTACTATCTCTAAACAATAAATGCTACTGTCTGAGTACAGGAGCAGAGGAACTTCTGGGTTCACATGCATAATTCTTTGAAGGTGGCCAGGCAAGTTGAAACGGTTGCTAAGAAGACTTATAGGATCCTTCGGTTAGTAGACGGGGGCATAGAATATAAAAGCAAGGAAGTGATGCTACACCTCCACAAATCATTGGTCATAGCACATTTGGAGTATTGTGTTCAGCTCTGGGCTCTTTATTGAAAAAAGAATGTTAAAGCCCAGGCCAGGGTATAAAGGAGACTTACTAGAATAATGCCAGGAATGAGGAATTTTAGATACAAGGAAATATGAGAGAAATTGGGCTTATTCTCCTTGGAGCTGAGAGGTTTAAGAGTTCTCCTAATTGAGGGGTTCAAAATTATGAACAATTTTGACAGAAAAAAAGAAGGAAGGATATTCTTTTTTCACTAACTGGTATGTCGGTAACTTAGAGTCACAATTTCAAGATTGTCAGGAAGAGGGGTAGAAGTGAGATGAGAAGAAACTTCTTTACTCAGAATTGTTAGGATTTGGAATGCACTGCCTTGGAGAGTCGTGGAGGTGGATTTCATTGGAGGTTTCAAAAGAGGTATCTGCTTGTAGGTAATGAAGTTAGAGTACGGAGATAGGGCTAGACATAGGACTGGCTGGATAGATCTTTCAGGAGCTAGTATACACACAATGGGTCAAATGGCCTCCTTCTGTACTGTAAAATTCTATAATTCTATGATTGATAAGGGATTGCAATGATGACACAAAATCCTGCCACTGACCTCTGTGCTCAAGTTTGCAAGAGGTAGTTTACAGGGTAAATCTCAGTATCAGCAGCTCTATAACATTTATATTACATGAAATCAGGAAAAGTAAAACCAGGCCACTTTCTGTTATAGTTGCCTGATCTAATCCTGTAGTCTCCCACTGGGAGAGTTAGAATTATCCATTGAGCAAACAACAGCTTAATAGGGAGCCTTCCATAGAAACGCGATAATGAAACTTAAGAAGATATCACCATAGCTTCACTGCCTCCCTTTCAGAGCAGCATGAGCAAACAATCAGATATCACTAGCTATACAAACTATACAAGCTAGAACATCTGCTCACTGGTACCTAAGAGCAGCAATTATTCCTGAATGTTGTTGAAAGATGTCACTGATACCTGTCAGTAAATCTCTCCCTTTTCCTGAGGACATTGTGGGGCTTTAGTTTACAGGTGCGAAGAACTCTCCAATTTCTCACTAAGAAGACATTATTGACAAGTATTCCTGGATCATAGTTGTTGACAGGCTGCTTAAAAATGTGGATATCAAAGCTGAATCTGACCTTGTGCTTTTTCAACACGACATGCCCTACTAGTGGTCAGTTATGAGTATAAACATAACTGGATACCCTGATCTGTTAAAGGAAGATGGATGTGCGGTTGACCAATTGGAC